GGGGGGGGGGGGGAAGAAGGGAAGGGGGAAAAAAAGACAATGAGAAAAGGTCCACAACTGCAAAACCAAGTCACTTTTGGGGGGAAGAGAAGCTCAAGCCTGGGGGAGCAGATGAGAAAAGGGGAGCACACCTCTTTGAAAGGAATGGGGCAGGCTGGGGGTGGGGGAGAGATCGGGTTTGTTTAGCCTCATACCGCCCCCCTTCTCCAAGCATGCCTCGCCTGCCCCCCTCACAACAGCCCGACGAGGTCGACTCAGTAAAGCGCGCATCGGACCCAGCTTGAGCCAGCCCGAGAGTCGCAGCCCACCCAGCCGCTTCCCCGAGGCGCTAGACTACCTTTCCCATCCTCCCCAGCCAGCCCAACCACCCCCTTTTCCTGATCTTTCCCCTCCCCTCTACCACTCCACCAGCTGGTCGCGGGTGATGGGAGCGGCCGCTCGTTCAACGCCCGGCGGAGAGGGCGCAAGGGCAGCCCTGCCCCCCGCGATGGGTCTCACCTGGGCGCGGAGCCCTTTCAGACGCTGCCCCGAGCGAGACCCCAAAGGGGAGAGAGAGAGAGAGGGGCTGAAGCACCGACGGCGACCCCTCACCGCCTCCGCTGGCACGAAACGGTCCCGGAGAACGGACGGTCGAGGAACGCAGCGCACGCTAGCAGACCATCCACGCCACCCCGCACGCCTATCCGCTGTCCGGCGCCGCGGGAGGAGTTTTTATCCGCTGCCCCGCAGATCACGCCCCGTCCCTCCAGGGGGCGTGCCTTCGGCCACACCCCTCCCCCGCCCCGTCTCTGCCCGCCGGAGGAGAGGCTCGACCACCCGCGCGCGCCGCCCCGCCCTGCGCCCCGCCTCTTCGCCCTCGGCTCCTCCCACCGCCCGTCTTTCGCCCCGCGCCTTCGGGAGCCTCGCGCAGGAAGGGCCGGTCTCCGAGCGAGTAAGGAAAGGAAAGGTGCCCGTTGGTTCCCGTTGAGGTCGGTCTCTCGGAGGAACGCGCCTGCTCCCGAGGAGATGCGCAGCGGGTGGGACCCAGGCGCGGCCGCTGGCCGTTGAAGGGATGTTCGAGCAAAGCGCAAACCGTCCGCGCGATCTTTTCCGGACTGAAGGCGTTCCCCAACCTAGCGCCCTCCAGATACGGGAAGACAACCGCCCATAGTTATCAACTGTCTGGAAGCTAAGAGGTGTTCCTTATAGGCTCAAAAACGAAGCAGGGTTGCGGGCCCCCCACACACACACACTTGGATGGGAGGCCACCAGGAAATCTCAGGACAGCAGGCTAGACGAAGAAGTCAAAACAGCATTCCAGAAGAAGGCAGTGACAAACCAGTTGCCTATTTTTGTCAAGAAAACAATGTTGAAGAGTCCACGAAACCACCAGAAGTCAAGCTATGTAGAACGGAGACATCACCGAGGAATAGCGCATCTGGAGGTCAGCAGGCTGGGGAAGACAAGGCTAGCCAACAGCTGGATTCACAAAACTGGCCAAGGCAAAACCAAACCAATCCCAGTGAATTCAGTACCTGGGGTGGCTCCTAAGACCTGCTGAGCCTCAAATCTGGTTGGCTGCTTTGGGGGCTGAGTGCCCTGTGCAAACCCAGCCACTGGGGTCAACATAGAGCTCAGGGTCAACTGCATAAGCCCCAGTGACTGGATGAATCCCCCAAGCCATGAGCTGGTATCTGTTTGTGTGAACACCACCTCTTTCTCTCCTGATGTGGGGAGGGGGTGGGTGATCAGGTGAGCAGAGGATATCAACCCAGTTCCCTTGGCCGATGGGTGTGGTTTTGGGCTGACCTGCCGAAAAGCAGCTGTTTCTCCCCTTTGCCGGGGAGGAAAAAAGCATCCCCTGTAACCGACTGGCTGTCTACTTTAAGCCCCCCAGGGCTGTAAGTCTCTCCCCTCCTCACCTGTTGACTGGCAAGATGGAAGCTGAACTTCAGACCGTCCTCGGTGATTTGCTGATTGCAGAACTGCATCCATGGAACCAAAACTGGTCCTAGCAGGGTCTACACCAGTGTTTCTCAAGCTTAGCAGCTTGAAGATGGGTGGACTTCAAATCCCAGAATTCCCCAGCCACCCCTGCTGGCTGGGGAATTCTGGGAGTTGAAGTCCAGCCATCTTCAAGCTGCTAAGCTTGAGAAACACTGGTCTATATATGCATCGGAACCCAGGCTGCTGTTTCTCCTCCTTGCCATCAATGGCCCCTGTCCAGTTTAAGCAAGGGATTGTCTGGGTGTGCAACCCCACTGATTGATTGATTACGTGCCATCAAGTCATTGTTGATTCTTAGTGACCATATAGATAGATTTTCTCCACGATGATCTTTCCCTCACCTGCTCTTTCAGGTCTTTCAGTGGTGCATCCATCACCACCATAACTGAGTCCATCCCCCTTGCTGCTGGGTATCCTCTTCTCTTTCCTTCCACCTTTCTAATCATTATAGACTTCTCAATGGAGCTAGGTATTCATATTGATTGACTGATTAGGTGCCATCAGCTTGGTGGTGATGCTTAGAGACCTTCTCCAGGATGATCTGTCCCAAATTGGCCCTTCAGAGCTTGCTGTAACTGAGTCTCTCCCCCTTGCAGCTGGTCAACCTCTTCTTCTCTTTCCTTCCTTTCCCAGCATTAGAGCCTTTTCCAGAGATCTGGGTCCTCCTATAATGTGTCCAAAGTAGGATAATTTGAGCCTGCGTTGACTTGTTCAATGATCAGTTGGTTTGTTTTCTCGGCTGATGCACCCACTAAGCTAAAATACAGTTGGGTAAGTTGTGAAGCGGTATGGAATGTGAACCAGGTCATCACATTAAGCCAGGAATGAGTAAGATATAGGGCTGGGTTCAGACACCACCCTTAACTCTGAAACAAACAATCCTCAAGCAAATCACTGGTGGCTGAGTGCAGTGTCTGAATTTGGTCGTGGTGGTTTGCCACAATCTGTGAATCCAGCCTGGGAACTCACAATACTTCAATTCATTTCCCAGTATTTAGTATTGGAGGTGCATTAATTTACTTAAGATATGCAAGAGGAGTTTTATAACGAGCCAGATAGATTTCTATCTCAATTCTCCCACTCCTTTCTTCAATGACGCAGGTCCTGGGGATCCAGTAGATGCATGGTGCCCCTTGCCAATGTCTGTGCCCATATTCAGCAGCAAGAACAGCAAAAAATAATTGAGAAGTCTCAGAACGTGTTACTGGTCACGGCCCAGATGCTAAACACGATAAAAGCAGAGATCTGAGGGAGCTGTGAGGCTCTTAACTCTTTCAAAACATATTTTTTGAAAGCAGAGCTTTGACCCATATTTGAAGACAATATTTGGCAGTCAGTGTAAATTTATAGGTAGGTTGGGCAATTAGGAAATAAGTCCAATTTTGGGTTGGTGTTCCAGTAATGGTACAGCCGAGCCCATTATGATTTGTGAGAAGCAAATGTGCTGCTTTTTAAATGCATGGATTTCAGCAGACAAGTAATCCTGCAAGGATCAGACACACTTTTCTTTATGGCGAGGTGTCATCCTTGTTGCAAAAATATTGGCACAACCACTTTAAACTTGCAAATGCAGAGCAAATAAAGCTCTACATTCCTTACTAGGGCATTAGCTTGTTTCCAATATCCAGTAATTGCTGGTTAAACATTGTCAAGAAAAGAGAAAGTAGCCCTCAATAGTGTTTACTTTCTTTTCAACAAAGGGCTCAGCACCTTATTTGTCGAAACTGCCAAGCTAAAGTTCCTGAAGTCAAATATTCCCTACTAAATGCTGGCAACTCTAGCTTCGAATGCAAGAAAGTGGGAGAAGATATGTGGTAGCAAGGACAGAACTTTTGCCAGAATTTATGCGTGATTCTGCACAGCACAGAGTTGGGTGTGAATGTGTAGTCCTTAAGACTTACAGAAGTTTTCTAGAGGCCCAGATTTTTGCTGAAGCTGTGCAAGCAAACCACAGTTCTAGCAATGGGCAGTGGAAAAGTTTGGATTGCAAATACAACAGAAGGCATTCTGATTTTACTTTTTTTTTTTACAGTAATTAACGTAGGTTACTTTTCTTACAAAGACCTTCAGAACAGCTTGCAAGCGACCACAACAAATACTAAATGCTTTCTTTTTTCAATCTAAAAAAAAAAAAAATAGAGAGGAACTGAAAATGAAATCAGTGGAAAAAAAAAATCAGAACCAAAGCCTACATAAAAACAAAATGTTCTCTCAAGAAGTTACCAGAATGCCGGGAGCAGCATTCCCACCAACGGGGCCCCTGCAGATGAACTGGCCAACAATTTTCATCCGTTGCTGCAATCAAAATTAAGGGGAGTTCAAAATGTCTCCAGAGGCCCAGGTTGTAGAAAAGCGCCAAAGGGTCTCCCAGGTGAAGATCTCTCAAAAAGAGCATCCAAGCTTTTTCTGCCAAGCTATGCTTCCAGGGATAGGGGAAGACCGAGCAAAGCATCGATGGATGATCAGAGCGGGCAACCAAAATCACGTGTGACTTCAGGCCATTCCATCCTTGCTGCAGTTCATCACCTGGGTGAACAAGCAAGTTCTTTGCAGTCAGGCAATCAACTGCATAAAAAAGAAATTGGAAGTTCACAACATAGTCCAGCTGCTGAAATCCATTCCCAGAGGTAGTACTGGGTGATTTCTGTTCTTCTATTTCTGTTCTTCTTCAGGACTTCTGGCTTTTCGTTGTGCTCCGGAGCTCCATCAGCTTGCCTTTTCATCATCACCATCAATAATTTTATTTCATTCCATTCTTTTCCCCAACGGAGCCCGGAGCAGCACATCAAAAGCATAATAAAAGCAAACTGCCATTCAAAACAACAACCAATTTACAATAAAACCGCTTGTGTTGAAACACGGCAATGGAAACCACAGTATAAGAATTAAAGTTAATTTTGAAAAGGAAAAGTAACAGGCAGTCTTTTCCCAGAGTAGCTGGTACTCTGCAAATCCATGGGCTAAGCCAAGATTTGTTTAACTATGATGTAATTGGCTCAGTTCATACAACCCATGAAATCACAATTCAGGGTTTACTAAACCATATTAGTTGAATTTCTAGAACGTGATGCTGCAAATAAGCTTGCGTTGACCAGCTGTGGGTTGGTTTGTACACCACACTAAGCTAAAATCTGAATGCTTTACTTTGTGCTTAGTGGATTATGTGGACCAGTGTCTGTGGTTTTTAAATGATGGTTTACATCATCACATGCCGTCAAAACCCAGACAGTTGTGGTTCATTCCATCAAGTGGAGCCTAACTCTTACTGAAGTGAAGAAAATTTTCTTGGGAACAAATATGGAAGTGTTTTGCTACTCTTTTCTTCCAGAATGTTTTTCAACTCCTAAACCTAGTCTACAGCCATGAGATTTGCTGATGGTCTTCCATTCAGATTCTAATTTGGCCTAATCCTATTGATCAGAACCCAGACAAGGTCAGCAAAGTGCAACCACCTGCCAGCATGGATAAACAAACTATGGCTTAGCTTACAGTGAACTGGTGAGAGAAGGCAGATGGCTCTGTCTTTTATTCTCATACAAGGAAATGATGGACCTCTTCAACATCTGATCTGGGTATTGTAATAGACCAGGGAGAACAAAACAATCTCATCTAAGAAAGGCAGATATTCCTTGGATGCTGCTCTGAAACCTATTCTGGAGGATATTTCATTATCTTAAAGGATCCCTTGTCCAAC